TATATATATATATATATATAAAACAAAAACTCCGGAGAGATGGTAATAAGTTGCCAGATATACAATTTTATTCAAGTGAGCAAACGTTTTCGGTTATCAACCTTTGTCAAGCTAAAGAAAAATATGAGAATAGCAAAATATATAGCATATGGAAGGCTCAAAACATGGTTCCACAGAATATATATATACTTATATACGTATACGCGTATATAGCATATGAAAGGCTCAAAACATGGTTCCACAGAATATACATACTTATATATACGTATACATATCGGCGTATACGTATACGCGTATACATATCGGCGTATATGTATACGTGTATACGTATACATATATACATATATACGTATATATATATATACGTATATATATATACGTATATACCTATACATATATACATATATATGTATATGTACAGTAATGTACATATTTATATATGTATATATCTATATGTGTATACACATACATACACACACATACATATATACACACATATACATATATATATATATATACTGTACTTGTATATATATATACTTGTATATATGTATATATTTACATACATACATATACACATATATATACACATATACACATATATACATATACATATATACACATGTATATATATACATTTATATACATATACATACATGCATACATACGCACATACATAATATAAAGATACAAATATACATACATATAAATACATATATGTACATATATACATACATACATTATATACATACATATATATACACATACATATACATACATATATATATACGCATATACATATACACATCTAGATGTGTATAAGAGACAGCCCCACGTCTCTGTACACCTGTAAGTAGTATGAATACTTGCCCAATATGTTTTTTTAAATATATACATTACTACATTAAATAATATACTAGTACATTACTAGATTATATTATAGGCAATGTTTTAATAATTTAATTTTAATTAAATGGAGGAGGTACATGGAACACGCTGTAAAAATCTAAACAAAATATCTCATTACTGGGCTATCCATTGACTGGTTATACCATCGTTGGAATGGAATGTAATCCATTTAACACTCCGCCCCCATTAAATACAACTGTCGGCCTACATTTTATGTAATTAACATCTGACCTAATATACTACGTACCTAGGCCTATGTGGTTGGCTACGGATAGCTAAGTGTAGAGTACGAAAAGCTAAAAAATTCATAAATGTAAAGGAAAATCATCCTAGAGCAATGCTGAAAAGCTACCGTCTCAATAGAACAAAAAATCCATGTGGGACCTTGCTATCATGTATCTAACGGCAACGTCCTCGTCATCAACCACAGCACAGTGCGGCAACACGAAATGTGCTGTACATACACTCACCACTACTGACTGATTTGAATGTGTGGTTTAATACACATAAAAGCAACTTGTAGCCTACATTTATTTCCTGTAGTATCTGATCTAGACTAGGGCCTATGCCTACACACACGTACGTACCCAGCCAGCCTATTCGTCTTCGTCAGGCCAGCCTGCATTACAGTACATTGACACGAAATGTGCTGCACACATACATTCAACGCTACTAATTTGAATATTATGTGGTTTAATGCACATAAAAGCAACTTGTAGCCTACATTTCCTGTTATCTGATCTATTACACACACGTACTACCCAGCCAACCTATAGGCCTAGTTCGTCTTCCTCTAGCTCTAGTCCAGCCTGCATTCCAGTAGTGTATATTGTTTATCTCTCAGGGGAGAGACCACCCACCCTTGCAAGCACCACAAAACGGCTCATTCTTCGCTGCCAACTAGACTCGTGCAGACGCATTTATTAGCCGCAAAGCTTACCATTCCAGGCCGTGATTGGTTGATAAACACAATGTGGAATCAGGCGATTTGCAATCTGATCAATGACGAACACGCTTTCATAGGAAACCCACTGTAGTGTTAAGAAATATGATAAACATACTTTTCACATATTTCCCGACAATATTTTCGCAAAAACTCTTTATACTTTAAATTCCCCACGCCTTATCTTCCATATTATTGCAAGATCGGCATAATCGCGTCACAAACGAAGGAGGAGATAGAAAAACAAATGACTTCAAAATTCGCTCAGAATCATCATATAAGCCCTCTCTCTCAGAGAGTGGGCTAAAAATTAATTAAAGTGTAACAGGTGGTAATGTGGCCATGGATTTATATATTTCAGATCTTAATTTCTATGCTCCTTTGAGAAATATCTTCACAATTTTGTATTCAGAACTGTTTTCACTTGTCTTCAGTTGGCATTCAAAGGGTACACTGCTGCATAGCTGTCGGGGATATAGTACCTTCATATGACTACTCATACAACAGAAAAAAACATCGCATGGAGGTAGCGAAAAACGGAGATCTAAATGAAAAAAAAACGATGTATTTTCAGCAAGTATTAAAACCTTTTTTTTTTATTTTAGGCCTTCTTCAAAATGCCTATGCCTACAGCAGTTGATATTTTTGCCACAAAACCAAAATACTGTAGTTTTATTCATGCCGACTTGCCGATCGGTTAGCGCGAGCCCTGACTGAACACTGCAGAAACTTCACATCGAGCTTCGCATCGCGAGGAAAAACAAAATGTCGGAAAACTTTTATTTTATGCATGCGCATTTGCATAAATGTCTACACACACACACTACACACAGAGAAAACAGTAGAAAGCGATTACAATAGTTTCTATTGCATTACATGCATAGGAACTAAAAATGGCAGTATTAATTTCATAACACCTAGGTAAATGTAAGTTTGAAACCACACTTAGCAATGATCTAACTAAAAGCATAAAACACTTTCAATGGGAGTTTGCATCAGGAAATAATATAGGAGTGATGTTTTGCCATACCTGATGTGTTTTCTGACTAAACACCCAATATGTTCCCAAAAAATTCAGGTGGCAAATTCTTTTCACCAAAAACATGACAGGTAGGGCAAAAAATCAATCCATAATCATACCATAAACCTCTCCACCAGGTTTTGGTATCTTTGGGAGGCTAATAATCATCAATTTATACAGAGAATAACATGAAGAATTGCAAAATTCTTACCTTTGAATGGTCCATTGTAGCCACCCTGCCGCTCTCCATCATCTCCACGTTCCTCCATAAAGCCACCATTATCCGAGGTGAAATAAACAAATGTGTTATTACGCAAGCCCAATTTATCTATCGTTCCTAGTACTTCTCCTATACTCCAATCCATTTCTTCAACTGCATCTCCATATCTTCCATGTTTGCTTTGATTTTGAAATGTTTCAGAGGCAAAAAGCTCAGTGTGAGCTTGAGGATACGACATAAAGAGAAAAAATGGATCTTCCTGATGCCTCTCCATGAAAGATATAGCACGATTTGTCAGTCGCTGAGTTAGGTTGTCGTATGTTAGAGGTTGCTCTAAAACCTTTTGATTCTCCATCAAAATGCAGTTCATGATCTGAATGGAGTTAATGAAGTAATATACACTTCCAATCAACACCCATGTGAAGATTAAGCAGCCAATTAGAGAACGTTTATCTATGTAAACATGCCTATACAGAGCAATGGCTGATATTGAAAGCAATAAGGCCATCAGAAAGAGGTCACGGTAAATATGGGCATCCCAAGCGATAAACACATTAGTCTTTCCACCGCAATCTTTCAGGTTTGTCAATGGAAGTCCGTAGAAGTAGTTGAAGCCTTGTCCATTTGGATGAGAACAATTTCCTTCACTATCACAAGCATGTCCCAAATGCCACTTTCCTAAACAATTGACAAATATTAAGTAAAAAATATAATACAAACGTTAATCTTGCTTTAAGAATTTAATTTTGAAAACATTAAACTAAACCCATAAAGAAAATACAAAAACACTTGTAGTGCTTATGTGCACACTACATGAATGTCAGAAAACAAAATAACTTAAAAACAAGCTTGGTTTATACAGTAGTTTAGATGATTTAATACCATTTAAATACACTTCATGATACAGATTGATGTTACAATGGCATTATTTATTGTTTTATAGTTAGTACAAATTCACAAAATTTACAGCATTCATTTTGAAAAGAAGCCGATCCAAAGTTCGGAAAAAAGCCCAGGGCTTCAATTCGAGGTTTCATGGTATCTGTAGAGTTTACAAATAAATGATATCAGTCATTTATGCACATAAGTCTACAGATACTGTAAAACCTCGAATTGAAGCCCTGAGCTTTTTTCCGAACTTTGGATGGGCTTCTTTTCGAGATGAGCTTCTTTTCGACGCTACATTTGCAAAGTAAAGAGGGGGATTCTTTTCAAAATGAATGCTGTAAATTTTGTGGCCACTGTAACATCAATCTGTATCATGAAGTGCATTTAAATGGTATTAAATCATCTAAACTACTATATAAACCAAGCTTGTTTTTAAGTTATTTTGTTTTCTGAAATTCATGTACAGTGTTTCTACTGTACTATCTCGAAAAGAAGCTTATGCTATCTTGAAAATAGGATTCGTTATGAGATGGGCTTATTTTCGAGGCTAAATTTGCAAATTAAAGAGGGGGTAGGCCTTCAATTCGAGATAGGCTTCCTCTCGAGATTAAGCCCGCTGGGCTTCAATTCAAGGTTTTACGGTATCCCTGTCACGGATCTGGGTATATTTTCCCTTTACTATATTTTGTACACACTGCAATTTTTACATTGCATACTGATGGCTGACCCTCGAGCAGTGCTTGTATGGAACACTAGACCCAGGCAGTCCACACAAAGGAGCAATACGAGAAGGTCCAGCCTTTTTTTATGGAGCATTAGCTCACATGTTATGGTACCGTATAAGGGTAGCGTGTTTGATGCATTACCTCATATTATAACAATACAACAATTTTTTCCCCATTGCACATTTTTTCCCCATTGCACATTACCTAGGATACGATGGCTTTTTCCGGAAGGTTAAATCCAGAAATGATGTTATGGCCCCTACAATCTTATCCGTTTTTCATTTTGGCTGTCAAGCAGTGGTTACTCTGCTTGCCTTAACTTCAGCGTTGTGTGGAGGTTTTATTTACTGTAAATTATTTTAATTGCATGGATGGTATCTCAAAAACTAGCTCAAACTTGCGCAAAATTTGTGCGGAATATTCCAAAATGCACTGACGGATTTCTAGGCCTAAGTTTTGCATTGAGGATAGGCCTAGGCCTAGCCAAGACTAGGCCAGGCTAGCTAGGCCTAGGCAAACTGATCTATTTAGGTGTGTTATAATAAAACAAACCAGAACCCTGCGGGTGTGTACGTTCCTTTGTACGTGAAAACTAAACACTAAATTCATTCATTGAATTTTGCCAAATTTGAAACTAATTGGACTTGCCAATTTTTAGTTATTGTGGTATGGTAACAAGCAGCGACTTTTTTCTCTTTTGAAATAGAGTAAAGCAACACCTAATGAGCAAGTATACAAGAAACTAGATCTCAAAATGATGCATTGCATTGTTTAGCGTCACATCTCCAGAAAAAAAAAAAAATCAGTGGGGTGGGGGTTAATTTTACTTTTCCGCATATCAATATTCTTTCTGCACGCATCCTAATAAAACTTGTTTTAACTAAAATATGACAAGAAGTCTTTAAATGATTACTTAATCACAAATTTAACATAGATGAAAACAATTTATTAACAACAAAAATTTGAGCACCATACGCCAAAGCAAAACACACTACAAAATAAACTTGTTTTAGGCTTAATATATATTTTCAATGATTGTAGAATGTGAAGTTAAAAAAAAACCTGTTTCTTAATGGCAAAACAATAGTGTAAGTAGGCCTAGGCTATGTACAGTCATGGTACAGTAGGCCTATTCAATTTTTTTTTAATTTTTTTTTTTGGGGGGGGGGATTTTTTTGAGAGGAAAAAAATTTCAATTTATTTTAAACCACATAGTAAGTAGGTCCTAGTGTAGAATAGTCATCCCTTCCCACAGTCTTCATATAACTTTTAAATCAATATGCATATTTATCATATAATTATCAGAATAGGACATTTAGTAATCATTCAATGAATCGAATTGACTGAGAACATACAATAAATACAAAGTGTCCCATAGGCCTACATCACAGTCGAATTTGTTCGGGGAGGCCTAAACGATCCTGCCTAGGTCTAAGCCTACATCAACTGCCGCCGAGCACGTTTCCTGCTGGACCTCATCGTGTAGGCCTAGGCCTGGATTTGCCTGTTTGAAAAACGCTTCAAAACGTCGGATAACGAAACATTTTGCTCTATATGTGGCAAACACAAGCCAAACCAGTCACTCGTCGCAAAAATTGATTTTGAGTTATTAATACAGTGTTATGAAAACAGAGTGGAAATTGAGATATGTTTGCTTATGGAAATAGATGAAAATCGAGGGGTTCTTATGGGAAATTATTTTAATAATTAAAAATTCAAGAGGTACTTTTTGAATGAAAAAAATAGATTATATAAGGATATTACGAATGGTGGTTAGAAAAGATAATCGTCCAGAGAACATGGCTAATAACAAGAATGCATGAATATTTACATAACAGCAAAATAGCAGATGCAATTAGTGGTGGGTAGTGGTTAGCTTGTTGGCCATCGGCTGATTGAGATTAGCAGGATGGCAGAATCATTGTATTTTTCTTGAAAACTCAGATGAGAATGTGCTTAAGGTCAAAAAAAGAAAAAGAGGAGTAGGACTAGACATAGACAAATATGTAAAAAGATTAAAGTTGGAAATATACTGTCTGTCCAGGGATCGGAGCTCTCATCTGTCAAAGAGAAATATCCTTAATTTGATATTAAACTTTGATGAAATAAACTTTGTGTTGGAAGAATTATTTATAAATTGTTATGGAAGATACCTGATAAGTCCATCCACGTTAATGCAACAGATCTTTGTAAAGGATTCATTCTTGAAAATTCATGCGACATCTGTGATCTGTTTTTTTTGACAATCTCATCACTCATGAAAGGAAATTTTGTCAGCATAGGCCTAGAGCTTTTGTATATCTGTACCAGTCAATTGTGTGTAACCTTCCAGACCTAGTCTGTAATTGAAATTGTTGCTATTGATGCAGATAGGCCTGCAAAATTGATTTCAAGTATATTTTGTTAAGTACAGTACAATGTTTTTTGTATCTTCCCCACTCTCGTCTCATATTTTAAAATTTGAAGCTAATACAATATGAATTAGAATTTTGTGTACAGTAAATAAATGTATCTTGTTCTTCCCTATTCTTTACATTGGTATAAACTAACTATAACTCCATATATTTAATATTTTGATAATAGAGTGTGTTAATTGCAGTGATATATATTGTAATACCTGACTGCTTCAATGTTGCTTTATTCTGTGTACAATAAAACAATTTTATATTAACTGTGAGAAAATACACTTGTAATAAATTATTTGCCATGTACAAGGATGATAAATTGTGTTTCACAATATTTATTTAGTAACACCAGTAGTCTTGGCTATGGTAAATAATGCAAGACAATCAGACATGATAAATAAAGCAGTGCAGTTAAAATTGCCTATTAAGACGACTAATAATATACTCTAATAATTTCTAAGACGATCTAATTTTACATGCCGAATTGTTGAATTTTCCATTACTGTAAGTGCTAGTCAAATTTTGTTAAGGTGAAACAATTTTGGATACGACATAGGCAAGTTCAACTATATATTTCAAATACTAAACAAAAAATGGTGTACAACAAAAAAATTGAAGCTTTCTCTTAAATTCCAATACCAAATTGATCAGCATGCAGACAGACATAGGCAAAATATAGGCATTAAAAAATAAGCAGATTCATAGAATAACTTTATACAAAACTGCACAAATTCATACATTAAAATAGATGTTCCTGTATATATTGAGCCACATTTTCATACTGTATTATCAACTTCGCACATTACATATTTCAAAATTAATCCTCACAATTTGTTTTATAATTCTGGGTCACATATTTGCTTCAAAACTATTCAATGGGATTACACTGTTTTAAAAGAAGAAAGTACAGCACTTATAATACCATTTACTAATATTAAAGATATTTTGCAAGTTAAACAGGTACAATAATACTGATACAGTATTTATTTATTATAAATTTGGCATGCAATATAAACCAGATGCATAAAAAAAAAACTAAGTGTGTGGCATTTCAGTATATCTTCAGAAAAAAAATCACTAAATAAATCATTTTAATTCAATTCTTTTGAAATATTTTGGCCTCAATCACTTGCTGCAGAGCTCTGAGCATCGCCACCTTCTCCTAACCATGGCTTGGACATGTCCATTTCATCATGTCCACACACTGAATCTGTTTGCATCAAACCCATTCGAGCCTATCATTTGTTTGCTCCTATTGAGGAATAAATATATAGTAGTTACAATAATGCAAAACCAGGTTTGTTAAAAATCAAAAATGTTATCAAACATTGGCATTTGCTGCTTTATTAATCACATACCATACTGAGATACTGTATGTACTCATATGAAAAGAGATTCATTAATTGACAGTATTTTCAGTTAAACAAAACTTGTTTTTTTAATTACTTGTTTGAAGCCTTCCTGTCTCCTAGTGTGTAATGTATTATTGTTGTTTCTTAATAAAACTGAAACACCATGCTGATTTTTTTTACCATGCCAATATATTTGTTTCATGTACTCTGGCTGAACAGTGACGAGATATTCACTAAATTTTCTATTGCTCACCTTAAATTGTGTGTAGCTTTCATTACAAGTATTAGCAAACAACCAGAGTGTTTCT